GGTTTTTCTCAGGTAATGCACAAGGCAATCACATAGAACTTGGAGATATATATAAATATATGTATCTCCAACTTACTGAAGACCAAGTTCTGATAATATCAAGTACAAAGGATCTTACTATTTAAGGTAGGGGCTTTATGCTCCCTCAGGTAACCTGCTAGGGAGGACAGGAGGATGAATGAAGGACCAGTCTTTGCTACAGGTTACCAGAAAATTGCAATTTTAGTATAGCGTTAGTGTGCTCCACAGATAACCAGTATCCATTCCCTGGGGGCTTAGAGATGCTTAGTCTCAGCTTGCCTCACTCCCAGACCTACTGAGTCAGGATCAGGATTTTTTTTTTTTTACAATGCGCTGATCTGCACATTAAACAGGAGTTGTGGAGCCAGGCTGCCTGGATTGTATCTCAACTCTTCTCCTTACTAATTGTGTGGCATCAGACCAGGAATTCAACCTCTCAATGCCAAAATGTCCTCACCTGTGGGTTGAAAATATTAATAGTAAGTAGGACATATGAATCTTTTAGAACTTAAATGAGTTAATACACTAAAGGACTCAGTACCGCCAGGTACATGGTAAGCACTGAGTGAATGTTCATTATATTTACTTTTTTTCTGTCACATGCATAGTCATGTTCAAATATTGCATTTTGACATTAATGTTACTATGCAATATTTTCCAATCAGTATATTGAATATTTACTTTTTCCTTTTACAGGTGTATTTTTAAAATAGAAAATAAAAAGTGTTACTGATATTTCATTAGGCATCACTATAATTAATTACATTAAAGTATTTGGGCTGTGAAATTTTTTAAATTTGTTAATGAAAATATGTCATAGAAAATATGCTGGAAAGACATATTCCAAAATTGTCAACAATTGTCAACAATATCTGTACATTGCTGAAAATTTCTTTTGTTTATTATGTTTCAATTTTTTCAATTTGACTCTTATGTAGAGTCAAACTCTGGAAGGAATTCAACTTTCCTGTTTGGTTTGCCTATTACCCTATGAAGGTAACTTAGTAGACTACTAAAAATCCGACATTATTTTGCAGTCCCATGTAGTTTTTAGTGCTTAAGTAGAAATGACCTTTAGAAGCATCTCATTAAAAGGATCATACTGAAAAAGTCTTGGCTGCTAAAATAGTGTCTCCAGTGCCTGCCATGGCCTAGATAGAATTTCTTTTGAGAAATCCACAGCTACTTATTTTCAGTGGCCTCATTCAAGCAAGCATACATCATTGCATGACAAAGTAAAAGGCACACTGGGGTTGAAAGGCAAGAAATGACTTTCTTTCCCAGCATTACACGATGAGGGCAAATTACTTTTTTTTCTTGAGTTCCAGAAATGAGGCCAGTTAAGGTTTTAGAAAGTTCAAAGGAAAAAAATCATATTTCCTGTATGAGACCGATACAGAGTTCTGTGTCATTTAAGGCCTCTAAAGTGATTTCTAAAACTAAAAATGTGCAACTACCCTCTAAGTTTAGCCACACTATACATTTCTGAAAATCTTTATGATCACTTTCTTTAAAGGGGAAATAAAAATGATATTGACCTCAAACTCTATAAAAATTTTATACCCCTTACAGTTCTCTTCTCCCAAAATAGCATTATGATAAGTGACAACTGGTGCAAAACTACTGCTTTCGAAGGACACCAATGTGAAGAAAGATCTCCTTGGTTTCACAGGTCCTCCCTCTCCCTCTCCTTATGTGACATTTTCCCCGAATCATTAGAGAAATGGTCTCGCTGAGGCATCATCAGCAAAATAAATGTTTCATTACAAGGCTTTCACCTCCTTGCTGTACTATATAAGCTGAAATATAGACATGTCTGCAAATGTTCTCTTGAGGTGAGGGATTGTGCCTCGATGACAGCAGTAAACAATATATAGATGTTGATATGATAAGAAATAATGTCTCTAAGGGGAGCAGGTGTAGCTCAATGGTAGAGTGATTGTCTTAGCATGTGCCAGGCCTGATTTTAATCCCTAGCACTGGACAAAAGCAAAACAACAAGAGAAACAAACCAAAAAAACCCAACAAAACCCAGAAATATTATTTCTAAATAGAAAAAATACTTGACATTTACTTGTAAGTGCTTTCTTTCACCTTCTAGTTCTTAGAAAAGAAGATATATCTACAGCTGATTAAGGAGATTCCTTTCTTATAATTAGAGCTGATTATGAAGCTATTTATTTACGTTTATGTAAATTATATTTACCTTGAATTATATTTTATTCTATTAAGTAAGTGAGGAAAATGTGAGAAGAGTTTCAGAGTTTCTGGTGGATTTCAGGGAATGGATTTAATTTCATATTGGTGTTCATAAGAACAAAACAAGAAATTTAATAATTTCTGTAGTGTTACTTAATTTATGTTTTTTTTGGCAGTACTGGAGTTTGAACTCAGGGCCTCATGCTTGCTGGGCAAGGGCACTACCACTTGAGCTATGCCCTGGCCTTTTTTCCTTTAGTTATTTTTCTAATAGGGTCTTGCCATTTTACTCAGACTGATCTGGACTGTGATCCTCTTTTATGTTTCCTGTGGAGCTGGGGTGATAGGTGCATACCATCAAGCCTAGCTTATTGGTTAAGATGGAGTCTCACTACCTTTCTTTTGCTCGGGGTTGGCCTTGAATTGCATCCTCCAGATCTTCACCTCCTGAGTAGCAGGGATTACAGGCATGAACCATGATGCCTGGCTCTTACTAATCTTTTTCAAGGCCATGGGAAAGAAACAAACCCACTATTATCTTGAAAGAAATACCAGAATTAAAGATATAACTGTCAGAAATTCTAATTCCCAAGCAAAAAATGCAGAAAGTGTGGCACTTGTTCTTGTATTTGATTATGAAACAGAAGGCTCTTTTTCACTTTTGGTCTTCCTAGAAACAACTGACTTGCGAATTCCTGGGCACATAATTTATTGAGAGAACGTTATTAGGAGAAAATGGTAGGAAAGCAGGGGGAAGGTGGAGTAAGAAGATCAGCTAAAATGTGGTCTCAATCATGGTCCAGCCTTACCTGATCCTATGGGGAGATGAGGAGAATGGACTGCTACACAAAAGTGCCTACCCAGAAGAAGAGCCCCTCCTGGGCCTGCCAGTAGTCAGGCCTGGGCCACTACCTCCAAGGAAAACCTGCCAGATAAGGTGGTACTTACAGCCCAGGCAGCAGCCTCAATACAAGATCTGAGCAGGACTCCAACAGCAAAGGCGTCAGGCAAATGAATTCACCTTTATCGGTGGACCCCATACAAGCGGTCAGTGCTTGGACTAATGCTTATTAAGGGGTAAAGTCAACCAGGGGACCTCAATGGTTTTTCTTGTTTCATTTTTCCCTTTGCAGACACTAAGCACAGATATTAGCGATAGAAATAAGGTTCTTTTTTCTTTTTTGTTTGTGGCACTGGGGTTTGAACTCAGGGCCTTATACTCACACTTGCTAGGCAGGCACTCTACCATGTTAGTCACTTTGCCAGCCCCTAGAAATAAGTTTTGAAGTAAGTATGTTCATGTCTATCATTAGGTATGATTTTCTGACAATGTAAAACTATACCCATTTATGGCATGCCCAAAAGACATTATTTATAAATATTTTCAGTGTACATGTGGATTTTATTAGAGAGGCTGATAGAGCTATTGGTCTTACGGGATATAGTGCCTGCAAAATCAAGAAGAACATGCAAAACTTTACTTTCATGTTAAATTGGTTTCCTTTTGTTTCACTGAATTTTCTCTCATGTTAAATTAACTGAACATCTTAGATTAAAAAAAATTCTAAAATTCTATTCAAAGAACAAGGAAACACAGATCAACTCAAAAATGTATCAACCTGATGTTCATTGGAGATCTGTTTGGAGTAGTGAATCATTGCAAATATCCAGTGATTGGGGATTGGGTAAATAAATTATGGTAGACATATATAGTAAAAGGCTCAAGTCACTAAAAGTCATTTCATAGAAGGAAACTAAATAACATAGAAAGTATCTGTATTAAGTGAAAATAAAAGGCTAAGAAGATTGTGAATATTATACCATTTTAAGAAAAAGTAGTAGGTGTGCATAAAAGACTAGCTATGTGTATACCTCAAGTTCTTAGTGCTGTCTCTAGAGCGGCTAGTATTTGAATTACAGATGATTTCTTTGGGGTCCTCTTTTCTCATTTTAAATTTTACTGTAGTAAAGATAATAAAATAGAAATAATAAAAGGGTTACTTTTATAATAAATAAGAGGCTATTTAGTAAACATTACCAACTTTAATGGTTTTGTAATTACATATAGTTCCAAGCAATTCTCAAGGTTTTTCTTACACTGTTAGTTCTCCATTTTTCTTTCTTCCTGAACAATTCTTCAGATTATTTAAATGAAATATGAAGATGAAATATGAAAACGTCCATTATTATTTTTAATATTCCTTTTATCCTCAATAATCAGTGAAATGTATTTTACTTTTTTGAAAATCAAAAGAATTGCCAGTTGATCTACAGGCTTTCTAATTTTAGACTTCTTTTGTAATGTCTCTTTACCATTCATTAACCGTCCTTTACATTGTGACACCTAATTTAAAATAACGAACCATAAACATATATTAGTAAATACTTTACGACACATATGACATGCCAGCGTGTATGTTGTGTATTGTAAGAAATCACAAAAACACTCTGAAAATCCTGAAGTTTAAATTAAAAAGAAAGGAAAATACTAAATGACTTGACAATCATCTTTTTTCAGTGCCTTAATCACCTTTAGTCACCACGAAATCACCAGAAATGTTAGAAATGACTGCTGGTGTCCATGGAAGTACAAAAGAGATAAAGATGTAAAAAATTCAGTTAATTATCTAGATGTTATATGACACGATGCTGAACTCCATGAAAGTGCTGTTCCAATATGATATTTTTTCTCCAGAGGTGTAAAGTTACTTAGGCAAAACCAGCAAGTAGATGTGGAAATCAGATTAATGCCATGCTGAAAGATTAGAATACCCTCTTACCTCCTTCTTCACTTCTTCTTCATCTTCCAGTGTCAAAGCAGCCAGTTGCTTAGCTCTCTGCTCCATCAGATTTACATATCGGATTGGGTTTGACAAGGCTTCAATCACATCTAAATAGGGAAGAAACATTTTAGACCAAAGGTTCTGGAGGTATTGATTATCCATTATCCATCTAAATCCATCCATCCATCCTTTCATACATTAATTCATGCATCCATCCATCTATCCATCCACCCACTCATCCATTCAGCATCCATATTTCATTCTTCCATCTACCTATATAACTATCTACTCATCTGTACACTATTTTGGGAACAGACAAGAGTCAGGACTTTGCTGAAACCTCAGGAAGAGATAAAGCAAAGGAATTCAGCTCTGAGAGCCAAACCTGGACAGACTTCACAACTCAAAATGCCTCAAAACTTCAGATTCTTTAGTTTTTTGGAAGGCTTGATCCATTCCAGCAAGGCTCACACACTTGCCTTATTTGTCCCAAATAGTTGTTCATAAATGTAGACATTTCGCACAAAGATCCCACCTTTCCAGACTGTCAGAACAATGCAAAGATTTGGCAATATAGGTCTTATTTGCATGGTAGTGGCTAGGTTGAGGAAGTTATGGCTGCCATCTTTGGATGAGGCATGTGCTTCAAGTTTGCCATAGCCTCTACCATTCCTTAATGCCTTACATCCAGGCTACTTAGAACTATAAGCATGCAAATTTGTGATGCCCCATTGACATCATCAAAAAATAATTCTTCTAAATTTAGGATTTCATCTATGAAAAGGATCAGAGTTCTAAAACTAGCTGAAGGCAAATTCATTGTATAGACCTAGACAGAATCTCCTGTCTTTGTTTGGCCCAGTTTTCCTTCTACTAAGCTACAAAAATATGGATGACCACAGATGGAAATGTCCCTTTGAGTTAAGTTGTTTACCTGCATATGTATCTGGCACATAGTCTTTCACCTCTATGTAGACGAAGACAGCTGGTAGCATCAACGGCTGGTTCCTCTCATTCCTCAGGCAGATGTAGTGATAGCCTGGAGGGTGACAATAATACTGTGGGTTCACATATTGTCTTCACAATGTTAGTTATATCTGTGGGCATCGTGTGATGAGGCGTTTATTTTAGGTGACTTTGGATGGCAAACAGGTCACTTTTTTTGTCATTTTAATCACACAGTTTTGAGTGACAAGGTATTAACTTTCCTCAATAGAGAGGACAACTTTGTTGATTCTGATTATTTTTTTCTTTCGACCCAAAAGAGAATTCAAAACCATAGACCATAGTTTGAACTATTAGTCCAAATTTACCCCTTACAGTTGAACTATACTTGACATGATTTCTTGACTCAGGGCTTAATGTGTGCTCCACTTTGGCCAATGGGATGTAAATAATGCAATAAAAGCAGGGGCTTAAAATGCACGTGCAGAGTTAGGCCCTTTTGTTTTTCAGTGGTCTTCCAAGAGAAGTCCATATCACGGGTGCCACTGTACCTTTAGCTTGCACCCAGACACGAGTACACATGCAACATACCTGACTCAAACTGACAGCTGGAAGCACAGCTGTGCCATTGAGCCCAGGACAGACCAACCAAACCTTGAGCTGTGTGGTTTATTCCCCAGGGTTCTTGTGAAAGAAACTTGCTCCCCAGTGTAACGAAGTGAGAGGCAGTGGAAACTTTAAGAGGTGGGGCCAAATGAGAGCTCACTGGGGTCCCTTGGAAGGGACTGGGGTAGTTCTAATTCTCCCACTAGATGTCACCTGCAATTAGGCCCTTGTCAGAGGTAAGATTGATGGGGTTGTCTGATCTTGCATTTTCAACCTCCAAAAATATGAACTAAACAAACCTCTTTTCTTTATAAAGAAACCTTCCTCAGGTATTTTTGTTATGATATTGAAGAACAGACGAGCACATACTGTCTGCCTGCAGATTCATAAGCCAGGAACAAGATACCAAATGTAAATTTTCAGATGCTTTGTTACACATAATTATTATTGTGATGACAGTTGACTCATATAGCATCATATAGCATAGCATGTCAGAAAACATGAAACCACCAGATTTGAGTAAACAATTTTATATCCCTTGTTACAAAGTAGTAAATAGTTGCCTAAACCATTCTTTAACAATCATGTAAGGCAGTGATGATTTTCTTTGTAACTTTGAGAAAAAAAAATGTCTCACTACACCATCCATACCTGGCCGAATGGCTTGCACAGGCAAGATCCGGTGGCCAATAAATTTACCTCCTTCTTCATAAACTGCTATCCTTAAACAGGCCAGAGAAGGAAGAACCACCTGTGGGGATTAAAGACACACCTGGTTACAAAAATGAGCAATTCCAAGAACGAGCTATAAATGTACCAGGCCCCATTTTCCCAAAGCCATGTAGAAGTTTCTACTTAGCTAGTTTAAATAAAAAGTTCAACTGTTGCTCTATAAGTTAAATTGCAAGAAGGAAAAGACATGGGTTTCCAGAAATAAGGCTTCAACTATTCGTAAGGCCTTCCTTCCTTGCCCAGTGAGGCGTTTGTACAACACAGCCACTTTCTTTTTACATGAACACCAGCAATGTGGAAAAGAGAAAAATTCTGTGTCGGGGCAGAGTTAGTGGTGCTATTATATCATGCACTTGGTTTATGTCTTCAAAGCAAATGACTTTTATACCTTCAAGCAAAAGCAAAAAAAATTCTGGTTTTCATGATAGCTTTCAACATACAATTGTTTCATAAAACTGTAAGTCCCCAAGTTAACCAAGTAGTTATCTTTTTCCTCAGTGCACAACATCTAGAAAAACGCAGTTATATGTCATGTCAAGCAAGTGAGATGCACCTTTTTGAACACAATAGGTTCTTCTTCCCATACAGGATTTACAGCATTTCCTTGGGATGTCTTGGTCTTAAATGCCTTCCTCCTTGTATCCACAGGCAAACCAAACATATCCACTTCCACGTAAGTTCCAACTTTCTTATCAGAAAGAAACTGACCTGAAATAATCTAGAAAGCAGTAAAAAAAGAAGTCTTGAAAAATAAGTAACTGAGACACATGAGACTACTTTCAGCAGGTACAAATACTGTCGGTGAATGTTAAATCATAAGTGAAATGAAATAGAAGAAAGAATAGAAATTTGATTTCTCTTTCACGTAGAGTTGATAGAGGACTATCGAAAATGGCCAAGTTGGAAGTCAATAAGACTGTAGACTATGAACTTGTATACTGTAAACCATCAAGACTCGTTTACTCTAAACTCACCCCATTATCCATCTACACAGTTGTGGGTATCCTTTGTCTGTCTACAGAACTAATCAGTATTGTGGAGTTAAAAGAGGTTTTAAGGTTACATGTTCATAAAATGTTTCCCATGTCTGCCTGTATTTCTAACTCAGATCTCAAAATCTGATGCTTTCGCATGTCATAAAGAAGTCAATGGAGACAAAGAGTCTTTCCATTTTATTCCAGAAAGAGGAGCAGAAGGAAACAGGGATTGATGGAGCAAGCCTGAGGAATCTGGGTTGTGTGGTTGGAACACAGTTGCCTGCTGGTCAAGAGCCTTTTGAGTTCAAGACTGTGAAAAGGGACAAACTTTCCCCATAAGTCACACACAATGGTGACATGAACGTAACTGTCAGGGACTGAGTGAGGTCAAAGTTAATCACATGCTGATGTGATCAGACATTCTGGACAAGTTGGAAAGAAGGGCATCAGGAAGGCTCTTTGAATTTGTCCTGGGACAAATCATTTCCCCTGCATGTTCTCTGCTCGAATTCACAAATCTGCTCACAACAATATCTATTTAACATGAGGTTCTACTTCTTAGCAGGTATTTCACAACATGTTTGATACTTCTGAGTGATGTAAGCCCCATGGGGAATGTAGATGCACTGAGATGCTGGGTGCTTATGATATTTGCTCCAAGCTGAGTCCCGAACTAAATTACTAAAATTAAACCACACTGTTCTCCTCAGTAACACAGGATGGTGGGATACCCTGTCAGCGCCTAAGTCTATTCTGAAACTGTGTGGTCTATGCCATAAGACTGAAACAAAGGCATGGCTGGACAGATGTGAGTTACATCTGACTCTTGTGGTGATGATCAAGGTAGGAAAGACTCTACTACAGGGTGATTCTAGAACAACGCCTCTGTTTCTCACAGAAGTGGCTATCTGGGTTTCAACCATTTCCCTTTCAGCTCACCATACTTTCCTGCCTCTTGTCATTATTTTATACTAACAGTGTCACATTAGAACTTCCAAGACAAAACAACTAAGCAAGAAAACATATACAAAATAAGATGAAGCTGTAAACAGGGAAAATATGATTACTTTATGACTAATTGTAACAATTGATTCTAAATGCCAGTTGCTTCTGAGTTTATTTTAATCATACGACAAGAATCAAATTTCCTTGGCTGAAAATAATTTACTAAAAATATATAATCATAAGTTCTAATTCTGCCAACTTCAAAAGATATTATTATAAGATACTTTATTAAAATTTTATTTTTAAATCTTTGAAATAAAGTGGGGACCAAAATAGGCTCACTAATTTCTTAGATAGAAATTAGTGAATTGTTACTGGACTTTTTTATATACTTTTTCAAATGCTTTACTTGAAGGTCAATCTGAACATTGCATTTATGATCCAATAAAAAGTTTCTTGTCTTCACACTTATTCAGTTAAACACAAAATGAATGGTTCTTTTAAAAAGTAAATAAAATTCTAGCTTCAACAACCAAATGCTTACAGAATCATGTGAAAGGCTCTTTAAAAAAATGGATTTTCCTTTCCTGGTATTAAAAATGTTTCCTGACAGCTAAAAACAATTTAAGTGCTGTAACATCTATTTCAAAAGATGAAGAAAATAATTTGGAACTAATTTTTAAGATCAGATGAACATTTAATAGGGAAAACATTTAAGATTGTTGATATGAGTTTTAAAATCCTGGAGTACTCTGGTAGTTATTCAAAAGCCATGCTAGGCCTCCTGGTGCTTACCACAAGCTGTGTTCTTACACTAACTGCATAGAAAGAGGAGGCAAATAAATCTATCCCATATGCACATCACCCAGGACCTTGCCTGGTCTGTATTATGAATGGGAAGACATGGGATGAAAAAATGTCATGCTATGGTAATTTGAAAGCTTTTGTTCAATATGTAACAAAGATATTTTTTCTCTACTTTTTTTAGAACTAATAGAAACTGGTGGGGAAAAAAAAGACCAGACAAACTCTGTAATATGGCTGGCTAATTTTCATGTAAATTTCATGGAGGGCTATTTACACCCAAAGAGACAATTGGCCATGGTGGCTCTCATCGTTTCATTTCATTTGTTTACAGTCTATTTTTATCATATTAAGAATGAGACCTAGCCCCTTTATCTCATCCATGTGGCCTGTAAAATTTTCTTTTTTTCGGGGTATGACTGGGGTGTGAACTCAGGGCTTCATGCTTGTAAAGCAGGCACTCTACCACTTGAGCCATACCTCCAGCCAATTTTGTTCTGGTTATTTTGGGGAGGGAGTCTCTCAAGCTATTTGCCTGGGCTTGCATAGAACCACAATACTCCTATCTCAGCCTCCCAAGTAGCTAGGATTAAGTGTGAACCACTGGCGCCTGGTTGAAAATTTCTAATGTAGATTCGATTCTTAAAAGGAAAAAAATGTATGAAGAAAGTGAAGCCTTTACCAGCTACCAAAATTTTAATGACTAAGTCACTTCTTTAAACAAAGTAGATAATATTAAAGACTTTTGTAAGGGATAAGTGTGTGACAAGGGTGTACATACCTTGACTGACAGAGTGTTAGCCACTATTCCATCCACGATGCCTTCAGTAAATGGATCAAAATGCTTGTCTGGCCTCCTCATGAATTCTGGTTTTAACCTATAGCCACTCTTCCCATTGTACTCATACATCCCCATGTTTATTTGCATAGCCAGATCTAAAATATCAAAAGCATAAACTCATTGTGAATATACTTATGTTTGCAGCAAAAATGAGACCCTAAAGTAAGACTGTATTACTGTCCACTTTTGTGACTGCTCACCTTTACAATGGAAATAGTCATTGAAATAATGTAGGAAATACAAATAAGAAAAAAGTTTCAGCTGCAGTCCCCAAATCCAGAGATAACACAGCCAACATTTGGTTTATAATTTATTTTTCCACTTCAAATACGTTTTTGCATACAGTATGTCCATTTTCATAAAATTTTTTTGCCTTTATTTTAACAGCTGTGTAAAATACCTTTGAATAGATATATTTGAGTAATGTATTTAACCAGCCTCCTTTTTGGACATATTTATGCTTCTTCTAATTTTCCACCATTACAAGGATGTTCATCATTGTGAACTCTTTTATATATATATACATATATATATGTGAACTCTTTTATATATATATATATATATATTTGTTTGTCTGTTTGTTTTATGGGGTTCTTTTGGCAGTACTGTGGTTTGAACTCAAGGCTTCATGCTTGTGAGGCAGGTACTCAACTACTTTAGCCATGCCTCCAGCTGTGGTGAACTCTTTGAAGACTTCATCAGTGGTTTTCCTAGACGTAGAATTTCTGAGTCAGAAAATACACACATTAAAAAAGTGTTTTTGATGGATCTTGTTAAAATGCCCTCCACAAAGCTTAGGCTCATGTATAATCACCTAAACCAAATCTTTGAGGATTGACTTCTATACAGTATCTCACTAACAAAAGATGTGGTAGCTATCTATTTATTAACTTACAGGAAAAATATTTCCTGACATTTATATTTCTGTGATTACTTACAATTAATATCTAATGACACATTGACTCTTTTCCAATGGACAAAGGTTACTGGTCAAAGTTTTCCTAATAATCAGTGTATCTAACTTACTGTAATGTAGTGGCTTAAAAAAATCTATCTATCTATCTATCTATCTATCTATCTATCTATCTATCTATCTATCTACCTATCTATCTATCATCTATCTATCTATCAGCTGAGGATGTAGCTCAGTGGTAGCATGCTTGCCTAGCATGTGCAATGCCCTAGGTGTGATCCTCAGCACTGAGAAAAGGTTTTCTTTTTTTGCTTTTGATAGCACTGTGGTTTGGACTCAGGACCTCATGCTTGCTAGGCAGGCATTCCATCACTTGAGACACTACACGAGCCCTGTATTTTATTGGGTATTTTCAAGATAAGTTCTTGCAGACTGTTTACTTGGACTGGTTTCAAACTCCAGTCCTCCTGATCTCTGCCTTTTGAGTAACTAGGATTACAGGCATAAGAAAAAAAATTTTTTAAACTCATAAGGAATCTGGGAAGCTGCCAGCTGTTCCAGATTATCTGTGACATGCATGATTCATACTACTAATGTGAACAATAAAGAGGTGATGATAGAATTATTTCAAAGTTCCATATAACAAGCCATTTATAGAGCAGAGAAAATAAGTGAAAAATTATCACTTATTAAACTATTATAACTATGACATTAAAATTGGACAAAATATCAAAAAAACACAGTAATAGACCTAGCATACTTGAAAATAACTTCAAATGCATAAGAAATTGCATTAGTAAATTATGCGTTCATCCTAGGAACAAAAGAATAATTATATATTAGGAGATCTTTTATGATGATTGATCACATTAATGCACCAAAGATGAGATGAACACATGATCATCTGATTGACATCCAAGAGACATTTAATAACATCCAATATAAGTTCCTAAACATTGAACTGGAGATGGAGCTAAGTGCTAAAGTGCTTGCTTACCAAGCACCTGGTCCTGGGTTTGATCCCCAAAATCACACACACACAAAAAAGCAAAACACAGTCAACTAGGACAAACTCATAATTCTTTAGGATGGTAAAGAATATCTGTTCCAAAATAATAAACATTAGCCTACTTGACGGCATCACACAATTAAAATCCTTATTAGTATCCAGATGAAAAGGAAGATGACCACTCTCAATGGTATTATTTAATTTAATTCTAGATTTTAGGTCAATATGAAGCAAGATGACAGGGTTTCATACAAAGTAGTGAATAAAGATGAGGTTTTTCTTTTTTTTTGCTGAGGAACTGAATATCAGAATTTTTAAAGTGAAAAGGAAAACATCCTTTTTGACATAGAAAAACTTAAAATTGAAAAGGGGTCAGTTTTCTTCAGATGAATTTATAAATTCGGGGTTGGAGGCATGGCTCAAGTGGTAGAGCACCTGCCTAGCAAGCACAAAGCCCTGAGTTCAAACCCTGTTATCTCCTCCCTAAAGCAAAACAAACCAAAACAACAACAAAATCCTTTGAATTTATAAATTTGATGTGATTTTAATAAAAATACTTTTTGAATGGCAGGCGGGAAACATAATCTAATTAGACTAAATTAATTAGATATCAGAATCCCACTGGCACTATCGAGAAAGAAGAGAAATTAATAATAATAAAGGAGAGCTGCCCTTCCGGGTCATAAGCTATATTCTACAGTCTGATAATAACAGTGAGCTATTGCCTCGAAGGAGGCAGACAAATTTGTTAACAGAAGGGAGAGAAAGTGAAAAAAATGGATCCCAATAACAAAAATGGTCACCTCTATTCAGCTGTGATTCCAGTGCATCGGGTTAATTCTTTAGGTGATAAAAAAGTTTAATTCACTGAGACTGTATACCAAAGTTGAATGTGGATGGGTTGGAGGGTTAAATTATAAACAATGTAACAATCATGGGAGAAGTGGAGTCAGTGTGGGTCTGATGTTGGGGTGAGGAGGCTGATATCATAAACAGAGCTATGAAATAAACATTATTCAACATGACCCCATAAGATGAAATTTTCTTTTTCACACTACGCCATTTCTATTAAAATTATTGTTATAAACGAATAGGGAAGGTGCCAATGGTTTGCTATCAAGAATAGGCAATTCATAAAAGTATGAATGTAAAAGTCAGGAGATATTTTAAGTATTCAACTTCAATAATAATTGAAGAAATGTAATTAAAAGTGAGATGTGTGTATTGTCTGAAATTTTGCTATTGTTATTTAATAATGGTACTTATCCAAGATCTCAAATGAAAGGGGCACCTCATATTACATACTGCCAACAGCGAAATAATCCACTGCAACATTCTTTATGGGCAATTTCACAATGTGCCAAAAATGTGCTTACATCTTTCACATATTTTAACGCAAAAATGATTCCACTTCAGAACTCTTCCAAAAAATTAAGGGATAGATTTTACTATTTAAATACAAGACTGTTCTCAGAGCATTGGTTATAATAGGAAAAAAGTCCAATGTCTAGTGATAGAATCAGTAGGGATTTTAGTGAGTTGTGAAATATGCTTAATATATAGCTATCAAAATTTATGTGTCTGTATAGCATTTAAGTGTTTGTATGTATACATTTTCTTTAAATAAGGAATTATGTGAAAAAGTATTACATAAATAAAAATGATGCATAGGTTACCAAGCCAAAAGTTACTAGTGCTGAATCTCTGAGTGGTAGCATAACTAGAAGTTTTATTTTTTCTTTATACTTTTTAAATTTTTCCTAAAATAATTTCACATTACCTTTAAAAGTTAAAAAAATTTGAACTGTGCAGAAATAAAATCTGATTATAAATTATTAGAGAAAAATTCTCACCCTTTTTATCCTCCCTCTCCTGTTTGTGACCTCCCCTTAATGTGACCTGTTTTTCAAAACATTACTTGTATTTGAATTGGGTCTATAATTCACATATGAGAGAAAAAGAAGAAAGTTAAGGTGAATATAGATGATGTACTTGCTATACAAGAATGAATATAGAACTTTTAAACCTGTTGAAATCACCATAAGAAGTGGACTAAGGCAGAAAGGAGAAAAATAGAGGGGATGAACTAATTCAGGTTAATTCATGCATATATACATGGAAACGTCACAATGAAACACCATGTATCGCTATCTTAAACAGATGTCTTTTTTCAAAAATGGAGAACAAGAAGGCAAAATAGGTCCTGTATGGGGGGTTGGTGCCAGTGGGAGGAGGGAGATATAAGGAGAGGGTGTAGGAGGGTGAATACAGTGGAAATGTTATGTACTCATGTATGAAAATGCAAAAATGAGACCTGTTGACGTTATTCCAGGAGAGGGGGAGGGGGAGTAAAGGAGAATGATGGAGGGGATGAATTCAACTATGATATAGTGTAAGAACTTTTGTAAATGTTACCATGAACCCCAGTACAACAATAACATAATAAAAAAGAATCATAAAAAAAGAAAATTTCTCAATTTTCAAAGTTCAGGGAGGTTTTCCTTTGATTTTTCTTCAGTGAAATTTATTTCATTCATTTTTTTCAATCGCGTTCTCTTTCTGATTATGTAGAAATGTTTTTTGAACGCTTGGAAATGTAACCGCAGACTGGGAATGAGCAGGAGCTGCTACTTACCCACTGTCTGGAAATTAAGAGCCACCATCTGACAGCCCGCGTTCCAGAAGAGCTGAGGCATGTAGTTGGATGAATCCACACGTGTTCCTTTTGGATAGATCCTGCTGAGTTGCATTTTGTTGTATCTGGACCATCATGTTAAGTAGTGAATGCAATTATAAAAATAATTAATCAATCATATTAACTGAGAGGGTACTTTCTGTCATTTTCCATTAGGGAAATGGAATAAGTATTCATAATCACATTGAATTAATGGGTGAACTCTGCAAAAGGCTTTCTGAACAAACAGAACAGAGATGCTCCTGTAATAGAAACAGAGCATCCTCTTTGCAGAGCCTGATGGGTGAAAGGTAATGGGGTGGCAAAAATGGTGCAAAGTCAGTGTGATTTTGTGGGATATGTGAAGGACAATCTTCACGGTTAAGGACACAGCATAGCTGGAGTGTGTTAAGTCACATGAGAGGATGGTATTGTGTTTGACAGAAGCAGATGATATGATATGAACTCCATGGCTCTTTTTGAAATGTTTTCTGCTCATTTTCTTAACCTTCTCTGGGAATGCTATTTGCCAAGAGTGTGGAATTTTTCATGACTGATAACAAAGTAAATATTGCACAGAAACTTCTGACCTTGCTTCAAATTTTGGTTCAGTTCTTGTAAGAACTTTATAGGTGTGTCTTTAGAACATGATTGACTATTACCAAGTTAGGTAGAGATCAGCTAAGGTGCTGAGCTAGGCAAAATGGACTTGAGTCTTAACTCCAGAACTTGTTGGCTATATGATCCTGGCAAGTTATGTCACCTTTCTGTGGTGCAGTTTCCTCTTCTGTAATGTAAATTGAACAATTCCTACATCACAGGACTATTGAGAGAATTAAATGAGATTAAACATACGGCAAAAATCTATCACACAGTCAATAATGAGTACTAGTGACAATGATTCTTGTAATGTGACTTTATGGAGTCCACATTTTTTCCCTCTCCTATTGTTAAGTTTTAAAGGTGACTTTTATTGTAGGAATTTCTTTATAAAACTGAATTATTTTGGATAGTTAGTGTTAATTTTGTGAAAAAAAAAATTAAAGGTCTGTTAGATTTTGTTTTGTTTCAGGGATAATTATAAAACTTGTACGAACAATGCTATTGTTATATATTTACATTCTTATCATCATCGCCATTCAAACTATTTTAATTGAAGATAATTCATATATGTAAGGGACTAAGCCAGGCTTGTAGATGTGTGTACACATTATCTATATCTCATAAATACATAAGTTATGTATACTGGTGTTACATATATTAGACCTATTCTAAACAGTTAGTCATGAGGATAGTAACATTATTTCTGTTTACAGATAAGGAAAATTAGGCTTAAGCACATTACCAAGGGGCCCAGTTCGAGTGTGTGAGGGACTTGTTTGCTTCTCCCGAGGCCAGGCTACCCAACTCAGTAATGTATATGGGAACCCGAGACTATTTATCATTCCCAGGCTATAGACTGAATCCATTCTATGCATCCTTCTCCTGGTTAAGCAACCAACCAACCAATCAACCAACCAAAAAAGCACATGACTTTAGTGGTGTTAGTTCAGCAGTCATTCGTCAAATCAAGGATACTCTACAAATTCCACTGGAGATTTGGTAAGTTGTTCAAGTCCTTTGGTTTCAACGAAGGAAGACATTTCAAAACTTTTATTTCTTTCTGAATTCAACACAGAAAATAATGTGAGAAAAAATTAATATTATAAATTGGTATTTATATGTTATAATTTATACAATTATATTTTATATACTTGTATATTACAAAAGAAGTAGGTAAATGCTCAGTGAAGTTGACAGCCATTTATTCTCAACATAATTTTCATTTTTTTTTTCAGTGACTATCTGTAACAAAAGTTGAGTTTTGCTTGATGTGTCTTTTAATATTTATGACTTCTGGGTATGCAATTTAGGGATATGAATGAACTTTAAATGAGTATAGTGTGACAGTGAAAATGGTTTTGTTAAAAGAGTGGGGACCCTGTGGGATCTTCTGTACTAAGTCCATCCAGATTGGCTTCTTAGGGATTCACAAAAGATACCATGGGAACACTTGTGCTAATACAGAGTGTCATTCATGTACACCTTCTCTTAACCTTCTAACAACTAACATGAAACCAGAATTATGATACTTAAAAGCTGAAGGATCTTTGGACGTTTTCCAGTCTGGTGGCCTCATTTTCATATTAGATTAAAAAAAAAAAAGGCCAGACAGGTGAATGTGCTAAATATTCTTGAACACAAAGTGCCAGGAAAACATGCTGAAAAGTGGAGTTCAAGCCTCTAATTAGAAATGACAGGAACAAAAGAAAAGTTATCTTAGTTTAGAAATCCTGACAGTCAGACAATTTTTTGGAAGTCTTCCTAACTAGCAATCAATGGTTACATAGAGCATTCAGACAGATGTCCTCCAGAGTGCTTAGACGACTCAAAAGTTTTAAGACTAGGTAGTGATTGTTCCTTCTTTGCTCTCTTCTCTTCCAAAAGTAAAACCTCATTCTTTTCTAATCAGTCCAGACTCCTCTTTATCCATCTCCCACCTTCTTCAATTTTCTCTCAGGGAGACCCTGACTTCTCTTATTTTGGTTCACCAAGTCTACTTTTATATGGCTAATTATTTTAAACATGACTGTTAATTAAAATTAAGTCAGCGATAAAATGATAGGAAACTCAAGAAGAAACATGCCTGTAAGTCTGGCTGATGTTACAGTGTGCTAAAGAACTCTGTATACCTGCTCCTTCTCCCGCTTGGCTATGTGGAGGAGCTTTTAACTCGTGAATTAGAAAAGCTCATTTTGCAACCAGTGAATGAGCAGTCATGTAAAGGACACCACTTTAGGATGCTTCAAACATAACAACTCGTGGTAGCAAACAGTAATCACAGCATCAAGAAATGTTGAAATCTTTATATATAACCTTCATATATAAGGAAATTAAATTCCTTATAGATATCTAGACACCAATATGCCAGTAAGATAAGACTTGGGAAAAATTATGTAAATATAAATAAGTGTGTTAAATAGAGGTTTGGGATTGGCTACCTCTATAAAATTGCCCATTAATAGAAGAAGCTACTGGGTTTAAGCAAAATTTCAGTTTTTAAGAGGACACTTTTATAAACAGCTGGTAAATCCCAAGTATTCACTTAATCTGATATTATCTTATACTTGATGCAAATATAAGAGGCCTCCTTTCTCTATGTAGAGGAAAGTTGTTTTTGCATTTGTACGGATGTGTAGTTACAGAAATTAGTTCTATGTTCTCCTAAGTATATAAAATGTGCTGAATGAATAGAATCTGGGTGAATTTATTCTATTTCGAGTTACCAGGATTGCCCAGGTCTCTGTGGAATAAGGAGATGTTTGTTTTTACCACATCATTTACATAAGCCATTTATACAATGGGTAGATGTCACCATGTGGTAGCAAAACAAAATCAAATATAAAACTCAATTATTTGCATGTTGGTCTAATATCTTTCAGATAATCATGTTTGGTCTGTAGCTCCATTAAATATTTTGGAGGAATATCATGAAATGATATTGATGTCTTAAATAAAATACAAAATATTGACATATTAAAATAGTTATATTCACATAAGGATAAGAAGATACTCAACCAATGCATATATTCAAGACTTCACTTGGACAGACAGAATAACTCCACTAAAGGTAACTTTCTTTGATATATTTACCTAATGCTTAAAATATATTCACTTTATGATACACTCATTAGTGTGGTTTTGCATGGTATAGTGTAGTTTTCTCCAGGGAAAACTTACTTTTAGAAATTTCAAATGACTCAAACTTGACTGGCTGAATATAGTTCACCAGGTTAGACATCTCCTCTGTGGCCATGGCTTCACTCCCAGCAGTCCCCTGGAAGCAGGAATAAAAAAATAAAATACCTTTCCAGCCTTACCATTATATTATCCCCTGTGATAATATGGAATCCTGATTTTCCATATTTCTAGGAAAATTGTCATATGACTCAACTGAGCAGAAAAGCATCCCTACTCTTCTGAAAGTGATGATTGGCAGTAAAAATGCATTATGGGAGAAAGAGAAAGCAATGTAGGCTGAGTATCCCTTGTTTGATATGCTTGGGACCAGCCATGATTCAAGTGTCAGATTTGGAGCTATTTGCATATATCTACTGAATATCTTGGAAGAGGACCAAAGCCAAAAGAAGAAATTCATTTATGTCTCACATATACCTTATATACAGAGACTGAAGGTAATTTTGCACAGTATTTCAAAATAGTTCTATGCATGAAACAAAGTTCCATGGGAGAGAATTTTCTATTCGTGGGGTCATACTAGTGTTCATAAAGATTTGGACTTTGGAGCATTTCAGATTTTGGAATTTTGGGTTAAGAATGCCCAGTCTGTAACCATTTCACAAAAGTGCGGGGTGGGAGGAGGCCTGGTAGCATTGGCTGGCAATGTGGTCTGAGAGCAACAGCGTCAGCCCCATCCACAGGCTTCAGAGACTGTCTGAAATTTAATAAGGCGGTGTAAATGAAAGCTCATTAGGATTTGAGAGACACTGCTGTCTTCCACCGCAGGGAGTCCATACTTGGCGTCTAAGGTGAGTAAATAAGGTACTCACTGTTCAGTAAGTGACTAGTAGATGACTGCTGCATGAACGTAAAACTGTCGATAATAATAAAGGTTGGCTATGAAATTAGCTGGGGTGGGCTAAGAACTTTGCATTTCTTCCTAAATGTTCTTTCCTCCCTTCCTTCTTGCTTCCACTAGACAAATAGTACAGTAAAGCCTAGGCTTAAGAGCTCAAGTTCTAGAACCAGATTCTCTGATTTTAAATCCCAAGTCTGTTACTTAGAAACTGTGCAATCTTGGATAAGTTACTTAACTGGAATGTGCCTTAGTTTACTCATCTATAAAATTAGGATAAAATCAGTTCCTAGCATATGCAGCGTTGTTGTAACTATTAAATGAGTTAATTTATGCAAAGGAGCTTAGAATACACCGGGAACATAGTAAAATCTCATGTTACTTTAGCTATTATTAGCTATTATATATTACTTTGATGTAGTTTTTAATAAAGAAGAAAAGCAATACTGCAGTATTGGCAAGGGACAGGCCTCTGTAGACCAATCTAATATTTTCCTTCCATTTTTAGAAGAGAAAATAAATGGAGACAAAGTTTCTTTTGAACACTCCCATAGCATTATTTAGGTTAAATGTCAATTGGGATGTATTCATTTGCAAATGGATGATCCAATTAGTAGACAGTTTTATTATTTTATTACTTTTTGTGGCACTGGAGATTGAACATAGAGCCTTGGCATGTGCTAAGCTCTCTATCACTATAGCATACCCCTGCTCAGGAAGACAGTTTAAAAATTATCCAGAATCAATCATCAAAAATTATACACAACTGGCAAGATATGGTGGTACATGGCTGTAATCCCAGCTACTCTGAAGGTAGAAGTAGGAGGATCAAAGTGTGAAGCCCCCAGCAGGGGGAGAATATGAGACTGTATCTGAAAAACAAACTAAAGCAAAAAGGGCTGGGGATGGCTCAAGTGATAGAGTGCCTGCCTAGTAAGTCCAACCCTGAGTTAAAAACTCAGTGCTGTAAAAATAAAGATAATTATACACCATTGGAATCATTCTCAGGCAGATATAGTTTACCAAGAATTGTGAATTTTCCTCTTGGAAATTAAGTTGAACATCTGTGGAGGAACCATAACCAAGTAAAAATTTAGAGGACTTTGAAGGAAATATTTGTACGAAGGAAAGCTTCAAATGAGAACTGCTTACTATTGGCTTTTTAATTCTTAGCTAAGCTGTAAACCTACCAGTACTGAGACAGAGATGCTGACGTATTTTGATATAGATTCAAATTCATTATAACCTTTTTGACCAAGATTCCTGCTTAAACAAAGTCCCATTGACCTGGCTCTAGTTTGCTTTTAGGTTCTGGGCAATTAATATTTCTGAACTAATAAAACTTCTTGAAATATGTGAGCTTGTATAAATATGTATCTGTAGTGGTACCCAAATTACAACAGTGAAATTAACATCGTATCTCTGAACATTTCTCTGAACCCACTATCTTCTCCTGATGGGGATTCTTTGAAAATTGGTGCTGGTAGTTGAAAGTCATGCATTTACTCTTTTCACCTTTAGATGGCAGAAAAGGACCATAGATAGATCTAGGAGGCACTGGTGCCTGCCAAGTCTGTTACCCTTTCTGGGATAAGAAGCCCAGGATACCCACCTCATCCATTGAAGATTTTTTACAGTCATCGTCGTCGTCGTCGTCGTCACTCTCCGTATCAGCTTCCCCTGTTGAATTTTAATAATAGATCATGACATCAACATTTGCAAGTTCAAAGCTCTTGTAATAAGGGTATTACCAAAAATTGACTAGCGAGTTCTTTGGAAATTTGACTTTCTGTTTTAAAATTACTGTTTTCAAGGATTTAAATTATATTAGTTATAGAGCGTTATATTGACACTTTGAATATGGATTTTTTTTTCTAAATTTGATTTGTGAATGAATAACATAAATTTGCAAGTTCTACAAAAACTGCTTACCTTAATATTTTCTGTTTTAAGAAACACATGGCACCATATATTATTTTCCTTCTGTGTCACATGATTTCTATTTTGATGTATACATTGTCTTTCAGGATGGTTGGCTCTGTGACCCTAACACAGATAAACTCTCCCCTTTGCCTGTTTCCCTCTTTTTCCAAACCCTGGCTCTTTGATTCAATCCTTGGCCAGCAGAAAGCTCGGTCAACCTTCTCCAGGGACATACAACACCACTCAAAAGTCAAAGATGAAGTCATGGGGCCGGCAGGGTGGCTAAAGTGGTAGAGTACCTGCCTAGCAAGTGTGAAGTCCTGAGTTCAAACACCAGTATGGCCAAAAAAGAAGAGGAAGAACAAGAAGAAGAAGAAAAAGAAGAAGGAGGAGGAGGAGACGTTCTGTGTGTGGGCAAGAGCTGTAGGGTGATGGGGTACAAATGACAACACAACAGCTGAAGAGTGCCCATTATATCTCTGTTCCTCAGATTTGTCTGTGATCTTATTTGATGGGTGCACTGTCATCAAAACAATTCATGTATCTTAGAAAACGGTGGCATTCTGTGTAGAGGGGCAAGATAAAATGGGCTAACACTTCAAAATCATAACTCTTGAAAAATCTGAGTCTGACCTAAAATTCAGCTTCATGTTTAGCCAATATTCAGTCATTTCAATGGATTGGTTGTTTTTACTCCCAATGATTTGAGAGACATTTCTGCTCTATAAAATATCCACACCAATATGAAATATTACATTCTTCCATACCTCTGACTTCAGTATGACCCAGTAATATCTATTATGTACAAGTATTTTCAAGTAGAAAGAAGGCATACAGTTAGTGCTATTGACTACTTCTTTCAGCGTTCACATGATGCACCATCATGAGGATGTCAGCAGGTGGTAGTGTGCTCAAAAATGAGGCAGACTGTGGTGTCAGGGCCTGCTCCCACCCCAGCCTTCTGAAAGTGAGCGGCCCCACTCAATCTATATAAATCACACAGAGTCCACAGTCTGCTTTCCAAAATGCTCTGAAATGTTTTCATTTGGCTGACAAAGTTCAATCAATTACTGAATGATAGCAGTAAGCAAAGCATTCATGAAATGTCTTTAGGGGAAAAGGTTTCTGGCACTTATTTATTAAAGCCACATAAAATCACTTTATGATGTAATGTGACAATAAGGCGAATTGATTATGTTTTTTACTAGAAATTGTATCTTATTGTATCAGAAACACATTCTTTTTGGAGGTTTCCGTGCAAATATGTTTTACATTCTAATTTTTTTGCCTTAAGAACTTATTATATTTTTTTTGTTTTTTAATGGGGGAGGAATTCTTTAAATAAAGTAAATTGGAAAGATGTGTTGGCAGAGGCTTGTTAAACAATGTCTCATGGGCACAACAATGCATCAGTCATTTCAAATACCCAGTCAGGTCACTCTTTGGTTTATGTGGGAAAGAAAGAATTTGTTTTCCTTTACTATAAGTGCAAGGACCTGGTTTTTCCTTTGCAAAGTTTTTTTGTTTGTTTATTTATTTATATTTAGCTTTAAATTGATACATAGTAATTGTATGTACATATATATATATATATATATATATATATATTTAAAATTTGATCCTACTTCTTTAAGACAAGTGTCCTGGCTAAAGGCTGCATCCTTGAAGAGGCAGCTGTGAACAGAAGCCACGATAAGAAAATGAACTTTGAAACAAAACTCCTTTCATGGTTTTCAAATTACTTGAGCTCTCATTACTGCAAATATGTATAAAACAAACAGTAAATTAGCAATACTCTTTATTCAGGGGCCTACCTACATATTAAAATGTCCAAAAATTTCCATGGAAATAAATAATGATTGCACAACAGACTACGGCTCTCTTAGGAAACCTACCGAATTACTAACAGATTGTTGCTCTTTCTCTGTATTAAGCAATCGTGTTCCCTGCCTGTAAAAGTCGTTACTTGTGTTATGTGTTCCTGTTAATAAGAGGGGAAGAACTGGTTGTAGGAAAGGCAGATGGTAAAAAGACAAAAACGCCCCCAAAAGAAAACAAAACAAATCCCACCAAGCATCCACATATAATGTAAGACTCAGTTTACTTGCTAATGTTCAAAGGACATAGGCAGGTCAGGAAATAAGTGGCCTCTGATGAAAATCATTTTAAAACTTCAAAAAACATTTTTACTGAGAAGGAAAGCTATTTTTTAAAATGAACCAGAATTGTGTAATATGGCTGAAATACACATTTAAGCACTACAAAACCCTTTCAAAAGTTATATAATGTCTGTTGATAAGGATGTTTATCTAAACAATAAAAGCAATTGGCAAGTGAGACAGAAAATCGGAATAAAAGAAAAATCAGAATCTTAGTCAGAGCTGGAGTAATAGCTTAGTGGTAGGGTGTTTGCCTCACATGTCGGAGACCCTGGGTTTGATACCCAGCGCTGCCTGAAATAAATGTCTTGGTCAACCATGTTTTTGTTTGATTGATCTAGAGTTCATTTTTAATTTTAAATTATTTTAATATCTATTAACTGATATATGAGAAGTATACAGGAAAGTAAACATACATGTAAAGAGAAATGAATTTTCAGCAAATGAAGATATATTCTTGTTAAGAAACAAAATATAACCAGCTTCTAAAAGCCCCTTTGGTCTCCCTTCTAGTTACTTCTTCTCCCAGGGTAACGAGGACCCTGACTCTAATAGCAAAGGTTAGTATTGCTGGTTCTTATACTTTATTTAGATATAGTAATGTAGTATATGCTTTTTGGTATTTACTTCTTTTGCTCAATATTAACTTTGTAATATTCATCTGCTTTTTATGATAATTATAAAACATTATCATTTCTTTATGCTATTCCATTGTGTGAAGGAACCAGGATTCATTATTCATGGGTATTTTGTTGGTTTCTAGTAGTTGGTTATTTTTAATAGCATTGGCTTTCAGCAATTCTTGTACCACCTCTTGGTAAGCATAAATATATATTTCCTTTGGGTATCTACCCAGAAATGGAATTACTGGGACATAGGTATTATATTATATATGCTCAGTTTTTGTAGATATGTTATTAAAGTTTTTTGTGTGTGTGTGCTGGGGAAGAACTGAGGGCCTCATTTCTTCTAAGCAAGTGTTCTACCACTGAGTCGCACCCCCACACCCCAATGTTCAGCTTTTAATTGAGGAACTTGTACAGTGGGGCTTAATGCTCCTCTACTTGATCACCCTGATCTCTTAATCAGGAGACCTCCATGTGCACTTTTCAGATTGCCCATAGTCCTACTGAATTTTGAAAGTAAATTAGACTAAATTACAAAGAATCCAAAGGAAATGAATGATCACATTGAATTCTTTTCTCATCAACCACAGAAAAAAATTCAATCTAAATTTAAAAGGAAAAGGAATAATAACAGGCATCACCAGTACCTTTGATTCAAGTAATTTTGCCATTTTACATTTTTAAAAAGCCCTGCAAAATGTGGAAAATTGTGATGCTTAGAACTCTTCAGCAAATCATCAATGAGAATGTCTTCAGTGAATATCCTGTCCTCAGTCCTACTGCTAACGCTTTCCATTAAGAACCTTAAAACCATGCGGTTACTCCAAAGATGATGTGGCTAATGCAGAAGCCAGAATAATGTCCTCCCAAGGATGTCCATATCCTGGAGACACCCGTGCTCCCTGAACATGGCGCCTTGCATAACAAAAAGGACTTTGCTGATAAGATTAAGGACCTTGAGATGCGGATTATCCTGGATTATCTGGTGTCTTTAAAAGCAGAAGACATTTCCCAGTGATGGTCAGAGAGAGATGAGACTAGAGAAGGGTTAGTGACATGCAACACTGCTGGCTTTGAAGCTGGAAGAAGGGGGTTGTCAGCCAATAAATGTGGGTGGCCTCTAGGAGCCGGAAAAGCAAAATGAATTTTTCCTTAGAACTTCCAGAAAGAAACAGCTCTGAAGACAACCTCAGTGTAGCCCAGAGGATGATCCCTGTGGACCTTTATAAAACATCTGTGGACTTTTTTTTTCTTCCTTACTGGGGCTTGAACTCAGGGTCTTCACCTCAGTTTTTTGTGATAGGGTTTTTTGAGATAGGGTCTCCCAAAATATTTGCCTGGGCTGGCTTCTACCCGTGATCCTCCTTATATCTGCTCCTGAGTAGCTAAGATTACAGGCATGAGTCACCAGCGCCCAGCCATCTGTGTACTTCTATTTCATTAAGTTTGTAGCAGCAATAGAAAACCAATGCAGTTTAAAACTGTGCCAAAATAGGAGTGTGAAAAGTCCTTCTAGGCTAATTTCAGGGCAGCAATTCTTATTACACACACATAATACAGCCTGCCAACCCCTCACCAGCTCCTGGAGAGGAGGGCTCAAACACGCTGGAGGAGTCACTGTATGTGTTGGAGGCTTGCTCTGAGAGCTTCTTTTTGCCACTTCCGTCCGATGACTTGTGTGATTTCTTCTTGTTTTTCACCAAAATTTTGTACATTAAATCCATAGGGCTTGGAAGAGGGACTCCAGATTCCAGCTATAAAGAAAAGAAGAATCTTTAAAAATACTGCCTCTTCCTTTCAGATTAGCTTTCCCAAACCCCAGTCCAACTTTTGGTACCAAGAGTGTCTAGATTATTCTTTACCAGTTTGATCACGGATCATTAAACTGTTCTAAATGTGTTCTACATAGGGACTGGTTCATAGCTGTTTTTTTTTTTTTTTTACTTCAAAGACATATTTTAACTACTATACTCTTCTTTTTCTATGACAAAATCTATATAAACAAGACCATAGAAATGTACTGGTAGAGTGGATGTATTAAAACCTGAACTTTCATGAGTTTTCTCATGGACCATAGAAATCCAACTGTCTTGATGTGGGATAGATAAGAAGGCCTTGACCTGAATTTTCAAAGGAGGGGAGCCAGGCATTTTGCATGAAGAAGGGGTTCCATTGGGCAGGAATTTTCAAGTGAGCCTGTGGAATCAGCCGTTTAGATGCAGCTTAAAAACAGCCAAATCCTGCCTTGGTATTTGGTGGCTTAGCTGCATATCTCCTTAACATCAGCAGAGGTGGACTAGGTGGTTTCAAATTTCCTTCTAACCCTGGGAGTCAGGCTGCCATAATTGCAAGCTTTCTTCTACTGTTTCAAGTTTGCATACCTAATGGGAAAATTAATTTCCCATGAGTAAGTTATTAGATATTGTATCAGACAATATGTGTGAAAGTCATAGATGGGTTTATTTTTAGAAAGTCTATTGATCTTCCATAAGTTAGTCTTCTATATTTTTGCTTGTAGTGAGGCTAAGGACTGGTATGAACTCAAAGACATGTGAAGACTGAAGGTCCAGGAGAGAAGAGGCCACTTTAGGATATTTCTGCTGCTTCCTTTCCTAAAATAGTAGCTGTTACCAATGAGCTGGTTGTTCCACTCAGGTAGAAATTGTGAGTAGGTGAGGAGAAGATATTCTAGTGTTGACAGTCCCAGGTTCTTGAATGCCCAAGGTCTTGGGGCTGGACTGGCAGACTCAGAGGCTGACAGCTCTAAGCCTGGAAAGCTAAAGGTCTGTTGCTCCAGACTATAGAATCCAAAGACTTATGACTCTAGATACTCAAATGAGAGGTTTATTCCTTTGGGTTTTAACCACCAGTCTTCTTGGCTCTTGGTAGCTATTGTAATCCTCCACTTCCAGCATCAGTGAGCAACAACAGTTGACAGCACCTCACATGTTGGGATCCTCAACTCCAACAGGGGCTAATGTTATAGCTGTTGGGCCTAGTAGAGTGTCAGACCCTTGATTCTTAAGGCTTGGCAGCTCCTTGGAACTCTCCCAGAAACTGGGGCGCATAGCTTCTCATCTTTAGGTCTTCACTGCCTTCATTATCTCTGCTGCTTCTGCTCCCTGCCCCCAGTAACTCCTGGAATTCTTCAGCCATCCTCTCACAGTTACTGCTACTGCTGCTGCTGCCACCTTTGCCTCTGCTATTCGGTTACTGCTGTCTCCTCTTCATGTTGCCAGCTCATCCTGCTCTGCTAATGAGAAAGATCAAAAGTAGGCAAGGAAAGACCACACTAGAGAGGTCTTTTATTGACCTAATGTTGCAACATCAGGAGGCAGCATAGGAAGGTATCTCTCAGCTAACTCAAAAAGTGAGCTGAACAGCCTGCTTTATAGCCAGAAGAGGGTGTGGAAAAGGTGTTTCCACCAATCATGGCATAGCACTTCATTCAAATGAAGGACCGTGCTTGTATCAATCACGGATCTTCTACTGGGCTACCAGGGGAATAGTTTCCCACTTTGGTCTGGATGAAAATGGCTGGTAGAGTTCACTGAAGCCTGCAATAGCAAAAAGTTGTGAGTAAGCTGTTTGAAACAGTTGTGTCTGGAATAGTGGCTTTTGGAGCTGGAGTTGTGCTTCTGGTGCAAACAGGTCTGGTTGTGGTGTAGCTTCCTTAAGGTATTCATGGAGTGTTAAATGCAGCCAGACTCCCATGAGGGTAGTCCACAGAGGAGCTGCTTGGCTGGCAGTCCTCTGCTCAAGGCAGCTGAACACCAGGGAAGGGCCTAAACAATCATCAATTAGAGGGTCAAGTCACTCTGGCCTCCAACAACTTAGCTTATTTAATGGAAAAGTAAACATTAAAAGGGGTGCCGTTAATAGAGACCTATCATTAACGTCAACAATGCTTTAACCACATTGAATGTTGCATTAAGCCTTGCTCTACTCTTAGCCAAACACCCTTGGAGAGAGTTGGGTCATTTTATTTGTCTCACAACCACAGCAGTGGAAGGCCCAAGTTCTGCCTCAAAGGTACATGCAAGCAGGTAATAGCCAGCAGAGACAGGCCAAGAAGTCGTTGTGCCATTTGCAATGTCCCATTTTTGCATTTATCTCAAAAGGGTATGATGAGGCTCCCTTGGAAGTAAGCAGATCCCTGTTCTCTTGGACTATCTCTGTGGGCTGATTTTAATTGCTGGGAATTTTGTACTCCTGAGTCTTATCAGGCAGCAAAGGAGGGAGAAGACTGAGGAAGAAAACAGACACATGTCTTATGCTCTCAACAGGACCCATTGCTGGTATCCTCCTGGTCAAAGAATTCATTGATCAACTTCATTAACCTTATCAAGCAATGGAAATGAAGTAAGACCCCCCAACTCCAGTCATAAATAATATATGTCTTCCTTCAAGGGCAAATGTCAAATTGCTTACTGGGTATTTTTCCAGTGGCTCCATGAGAAGGGCATCCCCAAAGATCAGTCGGCAATATTCCGCCATCTTGGCTTGTTGCTTTGGGCTAAGGGAAAACAAGAACAAGAACAACAACAAAACTCAAGTCAGGAGGTATTTCTAATTACAGGAAGAGATAATTCCCTAATTTCACCATTCAGGAGCAGTTCTAAATCCCTATCCTGCCTTTGGTGATTTTAAGAAGAACATACACACAGGTAGACAGTGAAGCCTTTGGCTGTGTGAGGCTATTTTTAAGACTGACCTGACCTGCATAGACTCAGATGAGGGGAGAGCAGGTGGTCATTTGCCTGTGACTGGATTCATGAAATTCCTAGTTAGAAACTTTGTTCCTTTTGTTCCAGTCTGTGATTCTAAGTCAACTGCAAGACATTTGGAAGGGGAATGTTTTCATGGATCCATGTAAGTTCTTGTGTGAAATTTATCAGACTGACTGTTGCAAGGAAGTGTTATAAGGAGCTGGAGGAGGAGAGAAGACAGAGGAAGCTCAGAGGGAGGTGAACAGACGAAGCAGGGAGGGGAAATCTCAAATGTAGAAGAGGAAAAAAAGCAGACAGTGGACTTGTGGAGGGGTTTCTAGAGGATGGATAAAGGCAATAGGCACCTTGGAGAAAAGTGTCTGAAATTCTATTTTTTTTTTTTTTTTTGAGACAGGGTAACCCAAGCAGTCTTCAAACACTTGATCCTCTGAGTGCTGGGATTACAGGCATGAATCACTCTGCCTAGCTTGTCTGAAACTCCTATGTGCAAAAGACTGAAGCAAAGGAGGTATTAACCCAAGCATGCTGCCAGAAGGCTAGAGATGACGGGTTCATGGAGCCTGAGCTGAGCTCCTGGCTCTGAACTGCTTTGGATCAATAAAATGAGGAGGATCATAACTGTCCTTGGAACAGGACAGTGGATGCTGAGCACATGAAATAAAGTAATGGGTGCAAATGCCTTTGAAATGCTGCAAGAGCACAGTACATGTAAGATGATCCCACTGTTAGAGGGCAGCAGAGTCTGCCTGCGGCACTAGACAAATTGTGCCTCTAGCACTTGTAAACACGCCGATGGGGGAGGGGAACTTTCATATTCTTAATAATTCTGCTTTTATTGACCTTTTCAAAGCAATTAAAAAACCTTTTCTCTCATTACATAGAATGCTAAGTATTCTTATAAGGTATCCAATTCTGTTGGGTTTTATGAACTTTGATTTTGATCTACAGGCGGGGAACTTGATTTCCCATAGTTATGCTGCGTTCATAATACTTTGTAGCTGAAGAGAGACTGAACTGAGAATAAGTAACAGTGATGAAAAGCCTGCTTTATGACAATTCAAATAGATTATGAAATAGGATTTGCATTTTCATTCCTTTTTCCATGAGTGTTAAGACTGAATGATAGACATTCTTTTCACCGAAGGGGGCATTTAGTGGACTCAAATTATATTGCAATGATACAAAGGGAAAAGGTTTCATTATATAACCTCTTTTTCTATTTTTTAAAATAAAGCAGGTGGCAGGTGTTTTAATGGTAAGGTGAGTTCTTTGGGGTTCAAATACGAACCCCCAAATTGCTGCTTTCTTGGAACTGCAGGTAAAGACAAAACAGAGACTCAAAGAATTTGTCAGGCCTCCATAACAACCTTACATCTTCTCATCACACATTTCTGGCCTGTATGAGTTTTTACTACTTGGCTTTTTGTAGCCCTCAGAATAGACTGTGGTAATTCTCAGCAGTGTCAGAGGAATGGAAACACTGCTAATCAGAGACACACCCTGAAAGGCATTAGAGGTGGTGGTTTAGGGACAACTAGTTGGAAATTGTGTCCATAGACCTTTGGGACCAGGCAGAGAAGTTGCTGATTGGTCAGGACCAGCCTTGGGCAGATATTCATTGTTCCACTGGTTACTCAGACATGGACTCTGCTGTCAGTCTGCTCTCTGGCTGCAACCGAGAAAAAATCCATTTATGTTGTACCCACATGTTCCAGGTTGTACTACATAAACTGCCTTGATACTCCATTGCAATTTCACAGAATGAGCTTATTAAATATCACAAAGCTTTACAACTCCAAGTGTGGGCCAATGGACCAGCAGCATCAACACTACCTGTTAGAAATGCAAATTGGAAAGTGGGGCTTAGCACCTGCATCTTTACAAGTGCTCTTCATGGTTCTGATGCATGTGCAAGCTTAAATAATACTGTGATGGATCATCAATATAGGTAACGTGCTGAAGTAAATGGAGTTATATGTGACTGTTGCAACTTGGGAGTCCTGAGTTCTCTGTGTGGTGACCAGGATTTAAAGGCAAGAGTTTTACTCTGATGCACTACCTTCAGAATTTCCAGGAAGAATCATATTCTCACCAGTAGAGGGATTTCAGAGAGATGTTCTTTATGGCCCTAAGCTAGTGTGCTGTCAGATGGTCCCCAAATCCGGGTCCCACAAGGATAGTCCTGGAACCATGATTCTTACTCAGTGCCACTAAAGAAACACTTGAGTCTTTAGTGCTGCAGGTGATAGAACCAAATCCCCAATTCACTGATCCTTGGAAGGGGATGCCCTGGAGTCGGCATTGTAAGAAAGGCTACAGGTAATTCTGATGCAGGTGGCTAATGAACCATAATGGAGAAAGAATGCCTCTAACACTGCATGCAAGTCACCTGGGGTCTCCTTTAAATGCAGATTCTGACAGAGAATCCAGGGTGGAGCCAAACTTGGCCCTTGTATTTCTAAGTTCCCAGATGCTGCTGATCTGAGAACCATACTTTGAAGAGCCAGGATCTGTGGCTGAGATGGATTGAGCAAGATGTGGGTGTCCAAAAAAAAAGTAAAATGTGCTATTTAGTAATCAGGCTATTCATGTTCTCAACAAACACCCACCTGTGTGAGAGCAAACCGAACAGAAAAAGTCAGAGGAAAACAAAGGTACTTTAATGGCAGGCCAGAATTGCAGAATTAAAAGGCATTAACATTGCAATTAGGGGGAAAAAAAACCTGAGTTTTTCAGAACATCAACATCAGCTATCATGGAAATAAAGCAAGAGGGAAAACTCACAAATATACTTTGAGCTTCAAGCTTGAGCAGACATTTCTAAACACATTACAATATCTATAAAATATAAGTATCTGGCAAAGTGGTCAGTTTGCTGACAAGGAATGTACCCCATCTCATGAGGGTAAATCCTCCAAGGTGAGCTAAACCAACCTCCTTTACAAATAAAGAATCTGCAGCTCATGGAGGTTAACGGCCTGGTTCAAAATCTATAGTTGTGGCCAAACCAGAGTTAGAGGCTACTTTTATTGCATTCAGTGTAGGATTCTTTCTATGAAAATGCCAGCTCACAAATTAAGTGGAGCACCAGAGTCAAGTAGGGATTTTCTTTTTTTTTAATATAAAGACTTCCAAGTCTTATTTCTAGATATTTCAATTCAGGGGAACCTGCGTTTTAAGATGCTCTCTATAGGATCCTGAGGTAGCAGGTGGGTAAGTGGAGAGATGCTACTGGCAGATAGATGGATAGGTGGTTTCAGATGTTTGGAGTGAAAATCCATAAAACCTCGTAGATTTCTTCCATTTTTTTCCCAGTTTAAGTCTCTTTTGGAAATGTGGGTCAATTTAGTGCAGACCAGAGTTCGAAATCTGGCATTTTGTAGATGCAACATAGAGAAGATTAAAATAGTACACCAGAAATGACACATAGGTTTCAGACGTTTTGAGGGTGCATTCCTAGGTCACTGTATTGAGACAGATTCTGAGGTTATGCATAGATTTAGTGAGAAAGAAACTGCTAGGACTTTAGGAATGATGTCTGTCACAGGTTCAGAACTAGATGAGTGACCCACAAGTCAAGTACAGAGATCTACCAACAAAGGGAAAGCCAACCAGTTTCTTTGGGTATGTGATACATCTCCCTGGAAAGCCTGGAGGTTGAGCAATTTTGATAACTAAAACTGAATGTCAGAGGAAATGAAGGGCAGGTAACTTCCTCTCACAACAGAAGTCAATCTGTTAGTCTTTTGCTGTCATTAGATTATCACAACAGTTTGGGAAGACCATTTTCTTTCCCATATGTGAATTGCTACTCAGTTTTTAATAGTTAAATTTATTTATACAGGAAAAGCAGTATCATGGCACTATGTCCTCTTTGCTTTTATGTAGGTATTACTTTTCATGTCCAGTTTTAGATCTCTGTGTGATTAGTGTGGAAAATTGCAAAAAATTTACCGTAGTGAGGGTCACAAACATGCCAGTATGAACATTCATAGGCAGTTGCCCTGCAGTTGTTTAGGTTGCTTCAATCTCATGTTTTGGAGGCTCATGATGATTTTGTATGAGTATAGGGGATGGCTTTGGCTCAGAGCATCCATCCTGAAGCCAGGCTAAGCTGGATATGAATTCTATCTCTGCTGTGATTTAGCTGCATAGCCTTGGAAAGTTAACCACCCAATTTGGGATTCACTTTCTTCATCTATAAATTTTTAAGGATAGTCATAATATTTATACTGGGCATAATATTTGCACCTGGGCTTGTGCTGAGGGTGGCATGAGTTTAAGCATGTAAAATATTTGGAAGGGTGCTTTGCACAAAATATATGTTCAAAAAATGTTAGCATGTTTGTGGTGGTAGCAGCTGCTGCTATTTCTCTGCCTACCTCAAGGGAGAGTTCCTGTAGTAGGTGCAACAATCCAGAATGGAATTATATATAGTCTTTCATTTTGTCTAATTTAAATAGAAATGTCTCTTTAAGAAAATATCTAGCTGGTGGAATGGCTGAAGTGGTAGAGTATCTGCCTAGCAAATGTGAGGTCCTGAGTTCAAATGCCAGTGCTGTCAAAAAAAAATTAAAAAAAAAAGAAAATATCTATGCAGCATGCCTTTTCAAAAGAAACAAGGAAAGGAAGGAAGGAAGGGAAGAAGATTGCAAAGCATGATAGAAAACAGTAACAGATGAAAAGAGCTCCAACAAAGTCACTAGTGAGTCTGAGCCATGGCAGCAAATTGAGGTATTACATGCAGTCTCTGAAGACGAACTCCTTTCAGTAAGAAGAGAAATACTAAGGGGATAGAATGAACTCTATTCTTTTCAACTGACCTAAGAAGTGTAAGAAAAACTCATGTGCCAAATGATGAACTCACTGGATGCATGTTTCATAATGAAATAGAATCAAGAACAAACTAGTGAATGTAATATGGATTTCTTGAGTGCAAACTAGGAATGTAGACAATTATAAAATTAGTGGCTTTAAAATAAGATCTCTCTCTCCCTCTACATATATACTAACAAATGTCTGTATTTAACTACTTAAAAAATTGATCCTGACCAAACTGCTTCTTTAAAATTTAGTGAATTCTTTAAGCGTTAGTGAATGGAAACACGTCGCAAATTAGTTGGATGAAGAAAATCAGTAAACTGGGATGAAGGGAAAGAAGGAATTTATGATCCACATTAGGACAGTTGCTGTCAACTTCGGGTTGAGAAATCTGCCTTGTCTGTGTCCTTGAAAGAATGGAGAGGGCTTCAGAAATGCTTTTTTGAGCAATTATGGCTCCCATTAATAATGTCAACCTTAAATCCAATAAGCAATTATTAAATATAACTTATTTGGGCAAGGACTCTTCATCAAATGTATGTAATACTTACGAATCCACGTGGTTCTCAAATGAAAGGAGAATTGGAAAAGGTGAAGTCTTAAATGCACACTCCGCGATTGCTTCTATCACTTCCTAAGAAGGAGAACACGAGCATATTCAATATGCCAAAGTTTTTATGTGCACGTTCTTTTCTTTAGGGCTAAACACATTAGTATGGTGGTTTGTTTGCTTATTTGCTTGTTTTGGTGGTGCTGGGGATGGAAATCAGGGCTTCCTGTATTCTAGGAAGTGCTGTATTGATCACTGAGCTGCACTCCCAGCCCAGCACACTTGGTTCTCCTTTTTATTCACAGAATTATTTCAAATGGCCTAAAATGACTGAAAGGCATGGTGAGGACTGCCAACTTGTAAAGTTTCTGACTCCAGATTTTACAAGGTGAAACAGAAAAAAGACTGGGTTTTGCTGGAGGGGGAAATACAGTCATGAAGAAGAATGATTCTCCTGCCAGGCATAGTGGTTCAAATCTATAATCTCAGCATTTGGTAGGGTGTGGCAGGAGGATCATAAGTTTGAGGCCAGCCTGGGCTACATAGGGAGACCCTTTCTCAAAATGAACAACAAAAAGAATTGATTCTTTTATTTTTAATTGTATCCTCTACTTTTATAGTGAAAGAAATATAATCATACTATAAAAATTGGGGACAAAAAGAAAAGGGAAAATTTGGCCTGGTGTAGTGGCTCACGTCTGAAATCCCAGCTATTTGGGAAGTGGAGATTAGGAGGATCATGTTTGAGGCCAGTTTGGAAAAAATTATTGAGCTTCATATCTCAACAACAACAAAATTGCTGACATGGGGTGCAGACCTATGATTCAGCTAGGCAGGAGGCAAAGGTAAGAGGCTGTCCAAGGCCAGCCAGAGCAAAAATTTAAAAATCCCCTTCCTGAAAAATAACAACAACAACAGAAGGCTAAGACAGTGACTCACAGGTAGAGTGCCTGCCTAACAAGCATGGGGCCCTGAGTTCAAGCCCCAGTACTGCCACCCCTGCCCCCAAATAATTCAATTTCTGATTACAGTGAGCATTTGGTTATATTTACTTCTAGTTGTTTTTTGATGTATTTGTGTGACTTAGTTTTATTTACAGTACATATTCAATTTGTATCTTTAAAAACATTCTTAAGACATGTACTTCAGCCATTTAGGGTGTTCAATAGCTTTTAGTATATTCACAGAGTTGTGCAACCATTATCCTAATCCACCCAAGGATACTTTAATAATCCCAAAAAAGAAAACTGTGAACCCACTAGAAGTCACTTCTCTTCCCCCATCCCTACCCTAGACCAGCCACCTAGTCCTTCACACTCACTCATCTACTTTATGTCTCCATAGATTTGCCTACTCCAAACATTGGAATCATGCAATACGTGAGTCTTTGTGTTTGGTATCTTTCAGTTAACATGCTTTTAAAGTTCCTTTGTGTTGTAACATGTGTCAGTACTTCATTCTTCCACCTATGTCTTTTTAAAATGTATGTGGGGGGGGGTGTAGCTCAGTGGTAGAGCACTTGGCTAGAGTGCTCATTGCCCTGGGTTCGATCCCCAGCACTGAAAAAAGTCAATATCATAAGCCTCAATAACTGTAAAACACTCTAGAAAAATAGAAGTAGCATACTTGATTTAACCATTCCTCAACTGTTGGGATTGGTATATTTTTCTAGGAATAGATTCTCAAAAGAAGGATTATTAAATTTAAGAATATGAATTCTTTTGTAGCCCATCATGTATCTCCAAATTATTTTTCATTTTAGATTGCCTAGAGTAATGAATGAAGGACCAGACTGTAATGCATATTCACCAGCTTTAGGCATTATTAAAAAAGTTTTTTGTATTTAACTAATATTGAAATATAATCTCATTTATTATTTAATTATATCAAGTCAATACTACTTAAGTTTCAAATTACCTCACATGGTTTTTTAGTTGCATTTATTCTTTTCACATACTCAAGTAAGAATTTCTACTCCCATTCTTCACATCTAAGCCTTTTCTACTATCTTCTTCCCTGTGCAACACATAGCTTTCTTTATAGCTATGCCATTAAGCTACTTCCTTGCCCCAGAGTATAAATAAGGCTTTCTAATTCTGTACTGAATTTGCATATATCCTCTAAGAAGGATTTGCCTGCATGGAGTAAGAAGAATCACTCTCACTGTTTCTTAGAAGTGAATTCACAGATTGCCTTTCATATATAATCAATTTAACTTTTATGATACTCGAGTCCATCAAAATAAGTGCACTATAAAAAGCAAGCAACACCAAGATGTGAAATTTTTTATTTCATTTATTTGCTCAGAGGCTGTGGATTTAATCAAGCTTATGTTTGATTCCTATGTCTTGGACTTAAAAATTCTGTGACTTTGGGAAAAGTCCCCTAATGCATCTGCACATCAGCTTGCTGCTCTGCAAAGTGGTGGTGATAAACTTCATTTTACAGGAATACTGTGAGGGAAAATAAGGATTGAGCTCATGGTGAGCAAGTATTCCCAAATTCATTATGGTTACTTGCCCTGCAGGTATCTGCTTTCTCACTTATCCTAAACCTTGCATCCTGGATTCTCACTAATAAAAACAAGAGTTGCATCAAGTGAGCACTTATTATGTTCCAGGTGGATGTCTTATCTCATGGTACTAATATTCTACAAGAAAAATACTATTTTACAGATTATAAAATTAAGATTCAGAGATATTACCTTACTTGCCCAAGGTCATTGAGAAGAGAAGCCAAGATTAAATCCCTGAAATGTTTCTAGATTCACCTATCATACCCTTCTCAGCTCCCACTGGGCCCCTAACCAAGGCCTGAGTTGTGTGGAATTTACCACATAGTTGGGGCTTCTGGCACTTTTCTAGAGTTGAAGTGGATGCCTTGGGTTGAGCATGGAAGGCATCCACAGCCTTCATCATGTCAGCTTTACAAGTGACTTAATTTACTCACACTGGCTTAATGAGAACTCCTTGTCTATGTAATGCCTCAACCATTATATTTAGAAACAAAGCTAAAGTTTGGCTCCTATATTTCAATTATGTCAGTAGCTAAGATTTATAGGGAACTCAATGCATGAGGTGTAGTGTCTGTGTATTGGATGTTTACTTACAATGACCCTGGAGGTATGCACTATTTTGCTGAAAAGAAAGGAGGCTTGCATTGATAATGGAGCTTTTCCAAGGTCTTGCAACAAGTGAATGGGAGTTTCTTCTTCTTCTTCCTCCTCCTCCTCCTTCTTCTTTCTTCTTCTTCTTCTTCTTCTTCTTCTTCTTCTTCTTCTTCTTCTTCTTCTTCTTCTTCTTCCTTCTTCCTTCTTCCTTCTTCCTTCCTTCTCCTTCTCCTTCCTCCTCCTCCTCCTCCTCCTCCTCCTCCTCCTCCTCCTCCTCCTCCTCCTCCTCCTTCTTCTTCTTCTTCTTCTTCTTCTTCTTCTTCTTCTTCTTCTTCTTCTTCTTCTTCTTCTCGTCCTCCTCCTCCTCCTCCTTCCTCCTCCTCCTCCTTCTCCTCCTCCTCCTTCTTCTTTTTCTTTTTCTTCTCCTTCTTTCCTTCTCCTTCTTCTTCTTCCTCCTCCATTTCCTCCTCCCTCATCTTCTCTTGGTGTTGGAGTTTGAACTCAAGACCTCATGCTTGCTAGGCAGGTGTACTGCCACTTTAGCCATGCTCCCAAGCCCTTTTTGTTTTACTTATTTTTCAGATAGGGTCTCAATGTTTTTCTCAGGGCTGGCGTAGACCTCAATCCACCTACCTACAGCCTCTGCATTGCTGTATCTGGGATCACAGGCATGAACCACTTATTGATTGAGAAGGGGTCTCAATAACTTCTTGTTCTGGCTGTCAAACTGGCTGTCCTCTCTAGCTCTTTCCCTAAGTAGCTGGGATTATAGATATAAGTCACTGCACCTGGCCTAAATGGGAGATTTTTGTACTAGAACCCAGGAGCTGACTCAGCTTTTAAAGTCAAAGCAGCATCCTCAACTTATGCATCCTCCTTTCTCTCTTTCTCACCCATATGCATGTTTTCTCTGTCCATCTTCCCTTATCTCTAACATAACTGTAGCTACCAGTTTAGAAAATTTTTCAAATCTTTAAGCCGAAGAAGGCATTTGCTGAATTTCATCTAATAATTTTAGTTGGGAGAAACTGAAAATTCTAAAAGTTCTACTGGAGAACTTTCTTTTGTGTCTGAAATATTTCCTAAGGTGAGCATGATAGTTCAGGATGAGCAAACTAGATATAGATTTTAAGTTCCCTTCTTTTGTACTGCTATATATAATTAGTGGATATCATATGTGAACGTTCTTTCCTGCTCAATTGCTCCTTATCCAGTCAAAACCAGTTTTCAGAGACTTATAACAATGGATTCAATAATCTATGAACCATATGGTTCAATTACTAACCTCCAGTGAAAAGACTTGCCCTTGAAATCCTTTATCCTTGACAGACAACAGTAGGTTATATTTGGATATCCATTTTATGTGTGCACTTATGGAACCATGAAATTGTACCCTAACTTCTTATTATTTTTCCCAGGAAATGCAGCTTTACTTTCAGAAATGTTTGATTTGACAACATACTCAAATTTGATACAGTTTCATCATGTACTTTTCCTCATTACTCAGTTGTCCATCCCTGTATAATAGTTGGTTAAAAGGGAGTTGCCTGGAGGAGACAAAGGACCAGCCTGGGATGGAGGGGGTGGTAAGGATTTGTGAGCGTGGAGAAGGAGAAGACTGAGTGGGAGCAGAGAAATGAGACCAAAAGATGGCATTTTTGGGTAGCATCTGGGTTATGGGAATCAGAGAGACTAAGGCAATGAGGCATAGAAACAGAGGACAGATAAATAGGTTAATAATAAATAAAGCCAGACTGCAGAATGCAAAGCCCTCCATAAAGTGACTGAATTACAGTATGTCCCTTTTCTCAGACCATAACCTTTTATTTTGGCCCACACCATAAATAGGTGTCAAATGCCAATAAGAACTTTTGCTTTGGAGGATATATCTCAGAGAAGTGTTCCTGCTCACATATACTGAAAGCAGATAAACGGTGTGACATAAAACTGATAAACTTTGCAGTTTAGTTTGCTG